TTTTTCACACAAAATATTGTTTATATGATATAAAGATTTTTTTTTCTTATATAACTTGCTTCACATAAACATACAGTTTTGTCTTTGTAATGGAAACATCAAAACTAGACCTGTGTTCGTTGTTCTTCCTCATGACCTTTCCACCATGAAAATTGCAGCTGCTGGAGTTTTTATGTTCCAGATGTTATGTCTGAGCTTTACATACTTTTACATTCACAGGATGAAAAAATAAATCCAGTCTTTTATTTAAACAAGATATAAAAGTTCTGTGTCAGAAGATTTTTTCTGTTACTAATTAGTGTCAATTTTAAAAGTAGCAATAATACAATGTAGAGAAATGTTACCTTTAAAATAACAAGTTATATTTAAGATTTTAGGAAAAGCTAGACAACATCTAGGGATAGATTTTTTCTTCTTTTATCTGACTGAAAAACAAAAGCACTTTTTATGAAGCTGCTGGATAAATAAACTGTATTTCGAAAGACCTGAGGGGTTTTTTTACTTCAGCATTTTGTCTCATGTGTATATTTTATCAAGTAACGGTACTTCCAGAACGTCTTGGTACCTTTTTTGTTAGTGGAGCAGGTGGGAGCTGGATTACCCGAAGCAAATCTATAGATTTCTTTTTGGCTCGAGTTAGAAGAAAAGCTCTTAACATGATGCAGGTGCAAATGTCATTTTTTTCATTACTTTTTAAACCAGTGAAGGATAAATATATTTCACAAAAGCACAGTTTTTGCTACTATTATTATCACTAAAGTGAGCAACGCTTCCAGCATCAAAAATACAAAATCACCCAATGTAGTAGAGGTGATTCATCCACCTGCAGTCAGAGAATTTAATGCCGGATGTGATGTATATATGTATATATTTGATCAATTTGCCTGCAATGATTTCCAAGGATTCACTCCTAGCACATAGAACACTTCAGATATTTCTAAGACTGTGAAGTAAATATTTAAAAGAAAAATTGTTTTCATGACAAGAATGGGCCACAATTCAGGCAAATGTTTGCTGGTAGGATTTTATTTTTTATATATCAGCTTGTTTAAGTTGGACTCAGATTTAATGTCTGTTTGTTTCTTTAAATCCGGCTTAATTGATCTGTAAATGGCCTGTACTTATATAAAGCTTTTTAAAGTGAGAAAACTTGACCAAAGCGCTTGACACAGCATTCGTTCATTCACCCATTCAATGTGGGTGAAGTCTTTTGCCCAAGGACACAACCACACTAAAACCCAGAACTGGGGCTTGAACCGTCAACCCTTCGATTGCCAGGAAAACTCCTACATCTTTTGCTTTTTTCCTATATGGAAAAAGTAAATAATTTTATTGATAAATAAAATCAGACAAACCTTTTTTAGGCTACTTGAGTGTACAAGAAAATATTTTATTTAGTTACAGTTAAATATCAGAATATCGATTAAGATTAATTGATGTACTTTCTTCCAGTTTAGTACGTTTTGGTAAATGTTTTAGCTTTTGCCTTTTAAACTTGAAATAATGTTGGTATCCTTCCAGAAGCCTATCAGAATAATTTATTGGAACTTTGGCCGATTTCCCCCGACAGAACTGGTGTAACCACGCCAGGTCTTTGGAACGCCTTGCTCACACAGGCCTTTCAAATGTTAACTTGTGGCTTTGATATTTTCACAAAATGTTCTTACTTCATATGAATCATTTTTAAAACACATCAGTCCTGTCTTTAACAAACCTTTTGCAAAGCATGATACTGCACCCCCTATACAGTACTTTGCTGATGGGATGATTTTAGTTAAGTTTTATTGGACATGTCTCCAAAAAAGTAGCTTTTTTTCACTGAACTCATTTGAAAGTTGTAATCCTTCTTACTGTATGTTGCTTTCTCTCCAAGGGCCATTTTAGTAGCCGGTCTTGGCAGGACACGTTTTGTTATGGATAGTAAGAAGGTTTTAAGTGCTTTAGCAAATGTATTCACACAATGTTTTGCTTTTGTTTGAACCAAAACATTTTTATCAGTGGGGGACACTGAACCATCCTCCTTCCTTAAAGTTATACAGTACAAGCTAGACATTCCCATGCTGTTTATGATTTACTTTATACTGTTTATAACTGTGTATAACGATGATCATAACACCTTCAGGCATCTGGCAACTGAAGCTAAGGATAAATAAGGCTTGTTGGTCTCTGGAATTCTCCCATTGAAATGTCTCGCCTGATGTTCAATGCTGAATTAGTGTGTTTTTCCGTTTTCATCACTCTCATTACTGCCTGTTGAAAGTATAATGAATTTTGCTCAATCAGGGAGACATAAAGCAGCAATATATTTAGTTGTTAATTTCAAATAGTCTTTGGTGTGCATTTTTTAAGTAGTGTAAGGCCTATGTTTATTTGCAAATACTTTCAGCCATCAGCTAGAATTTTGGAAGCCCAAATGTACACAAATGAACCCAAGTGATTTTCATTTCCTTTCCTGTATAGCAGCTCCTGGTCTGGGGCTGTTGGGGGTGGGGTTATGTGCTCAGCATTATTGGTGGGCGGTTTCTTGCAGCGAAGCTGCAAAGTGGATTGTGTAAACAGAAGCAACAATGGTAGAGGAGAATGGCATGTATTATAAAAGTAGCTGTGTAAAACTTAAATAACTGCATCATGATAATGCTTAATTCCAACTGGCTCTGATGTTTTCAGAGGTGACTGTCTCCACTGTGCTTACAGCCAAGTAGCCTCACTGGTGTTTTCAGGCTAGCCATTCATAAAAAATGCCTGGTTTTAAAATTCTGACTGACTTTTACCCAAAGAGCAGAAGTTTAAATTTACATAATTCGGTCTGGTGACATCTAAGTGTTGGTTTATGTCCATGAATGAATTAACACTAAACAAGTCAGTTTCCATTCAGATTTAAATCACTTGAGTCCTTTTCAATTCAGTTTATTTCTATAGCGTCAATTCACAACACGTCATCTCAAGGCATTTTACAGTTTACCAGATCATAAATTCAAATCAATTCAAAGTTTTCTATCTAAAGGCAATCCCTCACACTGAGCATGCTTGTAGTGACAGTGGAGAGGAAAAACTCCCTTTTAACAGGAAGAAACCTCCAGCAGAACCAGGCTCCGTATGAGGGGCCATCTGCAGAGGCCGACTGGGGTTCAAGGAGACAGAAGCAGACATAGAAAAAGCAGCTGTAAAAGGCAGCCCCGTCCAGGAAACACACAGCGAGGCAGACGAGCTCCAAGCCAGCTCCCATGTCAGAGGATAAAGAGAGCACATCCAGCCAGTCACAGTCAGAGAAACAGGACTACACTGGAAAAACAGGCCAATCTCCAACATCTATAAATAAAGGTGTTGATGGTAGCAGCACAGCTGATATTTCTCTCCAAGATGGTGTCACAACCAATCAGGAACAGACCAGATCATACTATGAGAAAAAGCAGAGAGAACATAACGTTAGAGATTGAACTGACAGATTCTGCAGAGTGGGAGGATAGAGATT